AGAAATACCTTGATCCCCACAAAAGGTAGCCAAACACTACGAGCCCCCTACCCAATTATTATTACGTTGCTCTCGACTCTCGGCTCTCTCGATCGTTGCGCAACGATAAAACGCCACTTTTCGCGTTGAGTTTCGCGCACGAGCGAAACAGGGAATTGAATATTTGAATATACGAAAGTTTGGAAAGTTTCGTGAAGAAGAAGAGAGAATTAATTTTGAAGCTTTTGTGGTACTTTTTCGAGACGTGGAATCGTCGATCTTCGAATTGTAAATAATCAGATTCGATAAATTTTCACGGAAGGAATATTAGTTGGTATCGGATTTGCGAGAGGAAGACAGGTTGGACAGTTTTCATTTTGGTAGGTTTCCATTAGAGGCAACATCTGCCTTCTTTCTTATCTCTCATTGACGAACTAGCTGGGTCAAACGACAGCCTCGCAGCTACGTTCACCCCGTCGCAATTATCTTTCCTCCCTATGCGTTTTTCCCTTTGTGTTCATCTGCCAGCTCGCTTGACGGGTGCACAAAGGCTTACTGGCATTCGCCGACGAATTCTGACGTTCCTCGTCCGCTTTGCTCCTCCTCCTCGTCACAATTTTCTAAAGTGCTGGTCACGCTCCACGATAACAGAAAAAAAAACTTATTTGATGAATAAATATCCTCCCGCGTGACGAACGAATCAGACAATTTTCAAATACCAGATACTTTCGTGAAACAAGAATTTTTTGAATTCGTATTCTTCTTTACCTTCTTCCATAACCGAAATCTCTCCGAAATAATTATTTCACACGAAACGATATTCTAATTTAACTAACAAACTTGAAACTAAAATTTTAATCAAATATTTCTCGAATCCCCCTCGAATCGACGCGATCCATAAGCGATTCATAATAGCCATAATCCATCGTTCCATCCACGCTTGCGAAGAAAACGAAGGAAATCGGGGGAAGACGCGTGTCTGAAAGCAGGGGGAAAAAGGAAAACAGGCAGGAAAAGAGAGAGAGAGAGAGGTATCGATATTCATGGAGCGGAAGGCGAGCGGAGGCGACGAAGCGCGACGATGCGCGCTAGATTGGCCGCCGCTTTCACAGATATGAAATTATTGTCCGGGCCAGCAGCCCCTGTCAAAGGATCGACTGACAAGTGATCTCGAACGAGGCACGACAGCTTGACTAATGCGGTTACACCGGGGCCCCCCCTCGTCGTCTAACCAAATGAAATACACCCACGTGAAATACACTCTCGCGGGAACAAGCTGATGTCACGAAATCAATGTTCCCTCCTTCCTTCGTCTTCTTCCTTTCCTACTTCCTTCCTTCCTTTCCCAACGAAGAAATCATCTTTTCCATCGGCGAGAATTCTTCTTCCTTTCCCCCTCGATATATGCAAAAACAGGGGTGGCGACATTGATTTATTCGTTGAGATTGTGATTCGAGCAGATCCGTGGAGATTATTATATTTATGTATATTCGTTGGATTAAAATATTTAATACGTAAAGATAGGAAATAATGCGGTATTGTGCTTTGCTACGAGATTTCGATAAGAAAAAAAATAATCGTTTTAAAATTGTTGCTTGGAAACGACGGGGGTATTCTTTCAATTCAATCGTGTTGTGAATTATTCCGAGTTGAGCTATCCGAGAAAAGCAAGCAACCGCAATGTTCTTGGAGCTCGTAAACCGTGGCTCGAGCGGGAAGCTGTACACCTGACAGTCGAATATTTTATTACCTTACGGAAGTTGGAACTCGCCTTCTCTCCATCCTGGACCATGACCCTCAAGGCGCGGTCAAACTCGCTCGACAGCCGCGCGATATGTAACATGAACTTCTGATGTGTTCTCCCCGCGAGGAATTTCAAGGAACGGTTGCACGTGTTCGTTCCATTCGTGCTACGAATTCCGAGTCGTTCTACCGACGTGCATTTGACAATACAATTCGTACGTTTCGGACGGAAAGAATGGAAAGGGAAGGAAGAAAAGGGAATGGAAAAGTGGCGGAGTGGTTCAACTGTTACAAATCTTGAAGATATTTTTTCAAAGGAGAATTATATGTCGAGACTTCGAATTACGCACAATGAGCGAGCATGGATGTTTACTTCTACAAATGTGAAAACACTCGAAGAATTCTTTCTTTGTAAAGAGAGAGAGAGAGGAGGGAGGGTGGTAGAATAGCGCGTGGTATTTACACATATATATATATATACACGCTAGTTTGCTAAGGGTAGAATCGAAGTATTCTTCTTGGTAAAAACCTTCGACGAGGATGTATTCCACGGAAGGAATATATATTTTCTCGTTGATTTGCAAAAGATTGCGTTTGTATTTACATAAAGTAAGAGGCAAAAGGGGGTTGAATATGTTTTTCGGCCTTCTTTGTACGCGAATAATGGACCTCGGTATTCTTCGATTCCCTCGCGAGGGATTGGAAAGTGTTTTCTTCTCGTATCGGAAATAAGATTCGAAATGAATGATAGCGAAATTTAAAAAGAGAGCTTTCGTACGTACATAAAAATTGTATATTGTATGGAAATTCGAAACTTGAAGAATTTATCAACTTGGAGAAGTATTGCTCCAATTTCATTTTTGAAAATATTCAATACTAGACATAAATTATCTACGTCCTTTTAACTTCAAACTCTTCCAAGCGAAAATCTCCCACGCACCGATTACCATCCAAAGAAATAACAATACACGATCGAGAATCGACCCACCACCATCGTAGAATATCGAAGCGTTCCGTCCCTTCATTCGCAACCCTACGTTCGATACGCACAAAGAACAAGCAGTCATTGCTACCGTGAAACGAAGCGTGGAACGAGCACGCTTTCCTCATCAGGAACGTTCAATTTGAATACACACGGACGCCATGATGCAAACTACCTAAAGAAAGGAGCGCCGTCGCGCGCGAGTAACCTGCTGAATCTTCTTCTTCGCTCGTAACAAGACACCGCGAAGTAGTAGAGTACATATTGATCTTCCATTTCCTGCAGCTTTCGATCCCCGCGATATTCGACGTACCGTGTCCTCCCACGTTGCTTGGCGAACGATGACGGCGGCCAAGGGCTCTCGTTCCCGCGGACGATTCTTCGAGGACCGGTCCCACGAGGCAACGATTACACGAATCGGTGATTCATAATCTTCGTGTTCGCTTCCTTCTCGAATCACGGCGTCCCTCGTCCACCGTGAAGAAGGGGAAAATAAGAATCTCTTTGATTATTATTCTCGCTGCGTCGTTGAGGAAGAGATTAATTTTTATTTGGATTTCGATTCTCACTACGGATGAAATTGAAAATTGGATGGAAGGGTTAATTTTTATTCAAATTTTGGTAGATTGTTTGAGAAGGATGGTTGAGAAGAAAGGTTTTCTGCGTGAAAAAGAGAGAACTGTGTCGATTATTTTTCACAGTTTCGTATTCTCCATTTGCTTTTAATATTCACATCTTTCGGAAAGGCGGCCGTATTTCGCTTCAGAATTAACATCTGGCACGTGCAAACAATAACACGACCTCGGGCCATCCAAACAATGAGAAGGCACCTTGCGTATAAATATCAACACCGATGTTCGTGTCACGCAGCGAAGTCGGTAATCGATCGACATTCTCCGCGTTTACCGCTCAATGGACGCGATTTGTATTCCAATGGATTCTTAAAGCATATTCGTGCTTTATTAAAATTTTCCACAATCGAAAGTCGATGGACGAACGATATTATAACACAAGATTTTTCAATCCAAGATAAACCGGTAAAGGAACGCCTTGCTGCACGCCTTTTATAAAGCCTCGTCTCCCGAGCGAGCAAGTTTTCAAGGCTTCCATTCGACACGGTACGTATATGGAACTCGGTGCGCGACTTAACGAAACTTTAAAGTTATAAACTACCCACGATGATAAAACTCTTCTTGGGCCGGTTGGAGGATTTATGGGTGGAGCCTATATAATTGATCCCCGTTCCGTGTTTTGCGAGATGCCCCCGTGATTTCTCGCCTTTGCGACGTGGCTCGTAATGGATCGTTCGCGCGCCTCTTTTTGTTCCAACGTCGTGAAGAAATCGCGCTTCTCATCGTGGGAAAATAGAGGAACAACTTCTCGAAGTTTTATCGTTATAAAATCGAAGAAAAACGTTATATAAATAGGAATATTTTCTTTTCGATCGAGTTTTTGATCGAAACTTTATATAACATCGTATCGTACGAAGAACTATTATCGCGTCTAATTATCAATCCAACGATAAAAAAAATAAGATTCTAGATTGGATTGAAACGTTGAACAACGAATCACCATGTTGTTGGAATAGATAGATGGTCGTGTGATCCCTCTGTCCAAACTTCGTCTCTGGAACCGCCCCCTAGGGTTGGAAGGAATGATCGGTAAGCGGATAGATCGGCCACTGGCAGCGAAAACCCTCGTTAAACCGGCTATTCATCATTCGTCGAGGAGTCTTTAAGGACGATTAGGCGGTACGTCGACGGCGGTAAAAGGGTCAAAACGTGATGGCCCTCCGTCCTCCGTCAAAACCGACGAGGGAACCTGTTTTCCTCCATCCCTCGTAGCCAAACTTGGTTAACCCTTTTGGGTAACTGGAGCAGGGTGCCTCTGCTTCTGTTTTTTTCCTTTCCAAAGGGAGGGAGGGGAGAGCAACCTATGTGCCTTCCAGCTTCGTTTCCAACACGAGAAGAAGAGAGTTACGCTCGTTAAATGCGCGACTAACCAAGTTGTCGATGCAACATGGGGGTGAAGATTCTGTTAGACATCGCTGGAGGCTATCTTGGATCCATATTGAGTCATACTTCCGTCGCACGTGTCCTCGTTTGATTAAGGGACAATAGCGGTCGTGGATGAGGGCAAATCTCGATGCTTGTTTGAGCAGGTGACTTCGAGTTGAACGGAGGAGAGGAAATGAGTTACTTATTCCGAGGTTCCAAGAATTAGGGAAGAAATTATCGAAAGGGTGCTTTGCGCTTTATCTTTGGCCACGTGAAAATTTAGAATTTTCAAGGAATTGGAGGGGGTTCGTTCTATGATCCAAATATTGAACGATCTAATAATAACTCTTATCTTACAAAAATTGTTCTGTTTTCAGGTACGTACTTGGCACAATGGTACCGCTGGTTCCTTCCCAGTGTCTAGAATCTGCATTAACGTGAGTAGATCAAAGCGCGGAAGATATTCGTACAAAATTGCTCCAAAAGACAAAGGTCTTCCCCTCTCTTTTTTTTCTATAATGAAAGAAGGGAATCTCGAGGGAAGCGTAATATCTCGCGAAATTTCAATTTTCGGCGCGAAATCTGCATAACCCAGAGTGACGAGAAGAAGGGGGGGAGGAAAGTGTCGGAACCGAAGGAAGCGGTAAATCTTTTAAGTCTCGGCCATTTTTGCGCGAGAACCGCGAATAAAAAGGGATCGGGGGGACAAGACCGCTTCCCCGCGAAACTTTTCTCGCGAGATTCTCGAGAGACGAGTTTCACGAGGAGGAATTTCAAGGACGAGGAAGTTTGGAAACTTCTTCGGATTCGAGAGAATTGGGGATGAAAAACGACGAAGAGTTTCGAATAATTTGGAAGAAGAATGGTCCATCCATATTTTTCGCGTCCTCTCTTACTTCGTAGATAGAAAAATTTCGTAATGTCGATTTTATTCTTTTATTCGAGGTAAACAAATTTTTGGATGGAATTGGGGGCAAACAAATATCGAGAAGTCTTGGGAGGAACTTCCGCTTTGGGGTGTACTGCTACCCTCTTTCTTTGCAATTCTCCCTAAACTCGAGAACGTTATTCCGAATACCGAACGTTCCTTCGAATATTTCCATCGTTTATCTATCAATTTGATCACTTTAGCTTCAGTTTACTTCGTTTGTAAAACTAAATTTCGATAAAAGTTAACTCTTAACCCTTATATAAATGGTTATTAAATTTATTTTTATCAGGCGTGTTTCATCTTTAACCCGATATTTCTGCGTAAAGTATCGAAAGGAAAATTGGATTGTTGTTAAGGCGACAAATTTTTTTCATGTAAAATAGTATCGATGTTTGTTAAAATATGGAGAGAACAATGGCACCTGTTTACGATTTTATGCCTTGACGACAGGCGGCCTCTTCATTTCTATTAGCCTCCCTTCGAGCCGTTTCACCCTTCTATATCTCGCCTTCAACCAAGAAGCCCGAGAGAACCCATGACACAAGCTCGAATCCTTCACCCTAGACCGCTCTTTATCTCTCTTTCTCTTTCTATCCCCTCGTGCTACGTTCATCCTTCAACCCTCATTGTTCTTCATTCTCCGCCAGACTTCGATCTTAAAGTTGCACGAATCCTTTCCAATGTTTGACTCTTGTGTCATCGAAGCCAATTATTTAGAATAATTATTTCTATAATTATTATTATCGAGGAAATTTTCCAAATCCTAATTCTGTTCAATTTAAATTTTCACAATCTTAATTTTTATCTTATTTAAATAATTCCAGTTTTTTTTAAACAAATATGTAGAAATTATAATTTTATTTTTGCATTATATTCAGTACAATATCAAAATCGAGGAATACAAGAAAATTTTAGAAAGATTTATTTTTTAAAATACCAGTTTATAAATATATAAGTAAATTATTCTCGTACAATTTCGTGTGTATCAACTCTCTAGAAATAAACATACGCAAATAAAATGCAGAGACACTCGGTAAGGCGATAACGTATCACCATCTGTGTAAACATCAAGCCACGGAGGAAGAGGGAAGGAAGAAAAAAAGAAAAATGAAATCAAAGCAAAAAGATAAATTATCTACAGTTATACGTACAGTTAAACGAGCGTGCACACTATATTTCACCGTTGTCAGTTTATCCGCGACACCTGGTACACCGAATCCCTCTTATTTCGACGGGTATCAGCGACGCAGAACAGTCGTGGAGGGAATCTCCGGGATCGGAGAGATCGATAGCGCCAATAAAACGCCACTTTCGCCGCTATAAATCGAACGGCAGATCTTTTTATTGCTTTGGATATGTTCGCGTGGTAATCACTGATGGATACACGAGCGCGTCGCCGATCGGTTGGCTGGTGAATCGTGATCGACCTGTCCACGATTTATCGCGAAAAAAAATAAGATTTTTTAAATAAAAATTGTCGGAGGGAAAATTTTCAAAAGGAAAAACTTTCGAGGAGGATTTTTTACAAAGGATTTTATGCAAAGTTTCTCAAAGTGAAATTTTTAAAGAAATTTTTTAAGAAGGAGAGGAAGGGAATTTGAGAAAAATCTTAAGAAGGAAATTTGAAAGAAAATATCGGAATGTTGGAATGAAATTTCAAGGGGAAAGAAAGAAAAGGAGAGATTTTTAAAATGATCTTAGGAGGGGTGTTAAACTCGTCGTGAACAAGAAAGGACACGAAGCTCTTAAGAAACGCGTAACTCGTTTAGCTGAATTGATTAAAGCGTTCGTTAAGATTGCGTCGAGGCAAGAAGCTTTTAAACGATTAATCGTTAATGGACCTGTCGTGGGCGCTGTTATCTCGTGATGAGATTGTTAGTCGTTCGAGATTGTTTCTTAAATATATAAAATTGCTCGCATTTGATTTTTAATTTTCGTTTCGAGAATAGTAGGGGCAAAGTACTTTGGCAGTTTCGGTCGAATGAATCGTATCAGTTTCCTATATAGGAAAACGTGCTTGACGAACGCTCGACGATCGTTACGCGGTCTCCATTTTCTGATATAAAAATAAGACGAGTAAATGTTGATTTAGTTAATGGCCCGTCCGTTTCCATCGACTTTCGACTCCATCTACTTGTGTAAGATGTATATTTTTAGGACAGTGTCTCGAGGAAGGATAATAAAATAACTATTGATATAGATATCTTACTTCTTCATAAAACAAAAAAATTCTTTTTTATATATTACTTCTTATTTATATATATCATAATTATATTACAATTAAAACGTGGCACTCTGCTTTAAAACGTTAGAACGATCTTTGTCTTTCGATCAACTTTCCAAGTGAAGGAAAAAAAAAACGATCCAATTTTCCAACGGCAATCGATCCCTCCCTAAAGTACTAAACAATTAGCCAGAAACGAAACAAAAGACGATCTCGATAATAATTTAAAACTCGGAATTCTCTCGATCAATTGTTCTTCCTTCGTCTTAAAATATGACAACTCGGATTCGAAGAAAATTATGCCTCGTGGAAATGGAATTCGATATCGCGTGGAAGGGACGTGAATTAAAACGTTCAGCGTGGGAGGGGAGTAACGAGGAGGATTTTTGCTTTGCCACGCTTTGCTACCGTCGTTCTCTAATCTCCACTTCCGCGCCTCCTTCCGTTTGTCTCCTTTCCGTTTCAGACGTTTCGTCCTTTCTCGAGGATCGATTCCCTCTGGAATTGGTATGGAGCTCCTTTAAGAGAGGAAAGTGTCTGTTGAGAAGGGACTCTCGATGCCAGCTCGCGTTCAATCCACAGGGTTTTGTGGGAAGAAACGACGATGAAGAGACTATTATACGCG